GGGTGTTGAAGCGTATAACTTGCGAGGAAAAGCTCTTACTTCAAAAATGAAAAAAGAATAGGAAAATGTGCAAAAACGAAGGATAAAAGGAAACTAGGACAAGAGATCAATCAGAGGTTATTGAGGAGAAATGGCTTGAAAGAAAAGTACACGTCGGAGAACGAGAGTATGAAAGATTTTGAGCTTTCGATCAAAATGAAGTTAACTCGAAGTTAAGGAATAACCTGCGACTTAATTAAAGTTAATTCAGCCTTTCCACGAGAGTTCAGCCCCGAACTCCAATACTTTCTCAATAAAAACTTTTAACGGCCCGTTAGCAAGGTGCGCAACCAAAGCTCCCAGACACGATAAAGGCACCTCCATTGTCAGTTCAGTGCTCACTGAATTATAAAGGACCGGCTATCATTACTAAAGCTCTCGGACTATCTCAATTTTTATTTTTTGTCTTGGTCATATCTAGCGATCCATCAAGCAGATTCCGATGATTTTTGCGGCTATCGATTGGCATGTAATCATCTCTTGTATCTTTTCAATTTTCGAACCGCCCTGGATTTTTTAGTGCCACAAAACGGATTTTTGAGGGAGCGAAGCGAACGTTTGGGGTTGGGCGCTTAGTAACAAGGGGGCCCTCAGTATGGTTGAGTCTCCAAAATCTCGCATAATTTTATTTTTCAATTTTTTTTATTTCAAGGAATGATGAAAACACAATAATCAGCACTAAAGGTCTGAACAATGGATTTGCTTCAGAACAGGCCAGAATCATTAATTTGCTTTGCACAACCGTGTTCCAATCTCAGACAAGGAACGCGGTGAAGGAGCGTTCCCTGGACCAGATAACGCGGAAGTTGACAAAACTACCTCGGAGACATGCCACCCGACCCTCAACCCCTTCTTAAGTTTTAATCAACTTTCTATTATCGCGTTAAGGGGATCCCATCTTGGACCCTTACGCTGCGCGTGGCAACAAAAGGAGGAGGACATGCTGACCCTGGGACGGCTTCCGCTCGACCAGGGAACCGCGACACCGTCTTACCTCGCCGATGGTTGCCAATTTCTTCTTAATCTGAAATAAGGGACTCCTATCCCTGGCACATTTCAGGAACGAAATATATGCCGTTGGTTTCAGTATGCAGTAACGGGCTTTTATAAATGAGCTCCAGAAATTGTGCTTCCTAATTGAGAAATGTAGTACAACTGTATCGGATCAGGGCAATTATTGGGTTTCTGTAGAAAAAATTATTTTGATTTTCTTGACTTTATCGCAACCTTATCCGATATTTTTCCCCTTTTTTCTGCAAAATTTCATATATTGATCGAAGGTACTTTAGTGTCAGTCGAAGTATTCATGTTGAAAACGCAGAATTTGGCTCGTTAATGATAATGCTTCGCTGAACAATTCGTTATATTTTTTGTGATCTTGGGTCAATTCATCCCCAGATGTATCGATACATCCATCGCACCCCGGTGCATTCCAGTTCGTAATCTTTGCAACCAATGGACATGTAATCTTTGTGACCGTTTTACGAACATATGAACCACGAGAGCTCATCATTACTTAACTCGTAGTATGAAGCGAATTAGTATCTCGAGTTCCCCAAGATATCCCAACCGGGATTTCTCGCCCAGTCTGGCAGCGACGCCTTGATTGGGGAGTGATTTCGAAACACCAGAGCGATTCGCACGGGCATTATCGAATTAGGCCGGGAAACAATAGTTGGGACTGATAACTCAATTTCCCTATCTGGGCCGGGTGGCTCTGGATGTGGATGCGGCGGTGGGCCGCCCGAGTCGAACCTCTGCTCGTGCAGAAAATCTTATGAATAGCTCTCGGATCTCCCCCTCCTACTCCCACTCCTCCCACCTCCTACCGCCCTTATTAATCTCCGCGGCGAATCTTCGTGCGCATATTAATTACCAAATTTCATCTCTGCGCAACCGAAATCATTGCCCCGTACCCCCCCGCCCCCGCCCCAATGCCTCCTTCAGAAGCGGTCCCGAAGAATAATCTCAAATGTGGAAAAATTCGACGGGAAAATCACCGCGCCGTTTCAAGGACCACGGTATATGGGAGCTTTCCTAAGTTCGTTTCGCCTTCAAATGGTTGTGTATAGGCTACCAAAAGACCCAGGAGTATGAAGAATAGTTCTGTATCAACTCGAAATTACGAGGGATGCAACGCTCATAACGCGCGGTCCGTCTGGCAAGATTCGCCTTCAATTAGCGGTATAGGCACCAAAATCACCCAGAAGTTAAAATAATTGCCTGTTCGTCATGAAGCGCACGGGGTCAGCATAGCTTATTTCTCAAATTTCCTCTTCATCTTGCGATGTAGGCATCAAAATTACGCAGGAATCGAAATAATTATCCACTCGGAACTTTAATTTCCTACCCGAGAGAGGAATCATCCAAGTCCCACTTCACGCATGGTATGCGCGTGATCATTTTGTAAGTTAATGGCAGCACAAGCCTTTTCAGAATCTGCCTTTTCCTGATTTTTAATTCAAGTGTGCTTGATGCCTGGAGGAACGGTTTATACATCTAGTGATTTTCTCTCTTCGTTGACAAGTGTAACTTCCTCATTCAGACGTTTATTTATCGCTGAAATATCTTAGGGTAATTAATGACGCGAAACACGTAAGTCGTTTTTGCGCCTTGGGGGACATTAGTGTCATTTCTGGACGGGGAAGGGCTGAAAACAAAATAAGCCTTTTTTCAGCGAAAGAATAAAGGAAATAAGGGGACGAATACTTACATTTGCCAAGTGGCATTGAAATTAACTTGATCCCGGATCACTCGCGTTAAATTAAATTAGCTTTTCCAACAAAGAAAACTTAGAAACGCTGGTAGAAGATCGTTTAAATATCTTATGGTATTATTGTCTCATCCCTTCAGCCAGTTATCCCTGTCGGAGCTCCGTCAGGAAGCGGACAGATTGGGATTGGAGCTGTATCCGCTCGGGTGCCACTTTTTTCAACCCTTTTGTTCCTCGTAACTGCAGCCCTGTTGCCGAATCGAGCAACAATGACCTCTACATTCCCCCGTAACGCCGATGACTCCCGCCAAGTGTGGCAGAGTGGCGCTGCATCTACCCCTTTTTTCGAAATTATTATTACCTTGGAATTAAGTTTTCGCTTTTTCTTCGATCGTTTATTTTTACGACGCTCCTTCCGACCTCGCAGACAGGCGTGTGGCGTGTTCGGTCGTAATAACCGTAGTTTCCGGTCTTTCGGCCCCCGCTTTAATTAAAAAACTCGCTAATATCGTCTCAGTCGAATTGCCCGATGCTTCGCGGAAGCTCGCTGACGGACTCGTAAATTAAGTATTAATCGGTGCATTTAGATTAGCTGTAAAAAGGGTTGGCTGTGCGGATGCCAAACACCCTAAAATTATACGAATTTCTCGGGCTGGAAAATCTGCGTTACTGCGCAATCTGATAACGCGGCTGTATTAATAAGCATCGATGAGATAACCGTACGTTGGCAATTTTTATCCTCAATTCGTGCGATTCTAATCTCTTTCCCAGTTTCTTTTGAAGAAAAACCCGAGAGGAAGGTTTCCCTCCATTATCCAAATGAAATTTCATTATTTCCTATGTTGTAAGTTATTCTAAATGATGGGAGGGAAATGTCTTTTTTTGCTGCATCTTTTAAAAACAGTCACTGAAAGTGAACTCGAAAGTTTTAAAAGTTCCAAGAAAAATTAGTAAATCTTCTAGGGTGCAGATATTTCCCGCTGTGGATCATCACGAGCTTTTCAGAACAAAAACATCATTGTTCCTTGAAAGTTGGTATCAGAGCAATTTTCCGCAGAAAGGGAAAAACGACTTCGATCAATTTTGTCGGAACATCAATTACGAGACAGTCGTGACGAATTTTTCGGTGAACTCCTGTCAGCGAGTAGTTATTATCTAAGCTCGTGACTGAGACCAGTGATTCGAGGACACACGAACTTCCGATTGATATTTTGGTGTCCAATCGAACATAAATAAATAAGAAGTGGTCCGAAATGCGTAAAAAATCCCGAGTTCATTGCCTCAATTGCTAGTGCGCAGGGTCGCCGAATCATGTTGTCTCCACTCGCGAAGAAAGCTCGCCGAATCCGGAAATCGACCAAACGGAGTCGATTCGACATCGATATCATCGATGTGCTCGCTTCGAGCAGTGTTCCCGGGCAAGTCGTCGTGCCAAAGTCNGGGGGGGGGGGGGGGGGGGGGAGGAGGGGCTGCAATAAGGTGTACGAAATTGCTCCCTCAAGGGCCCGGGGCCTGGACGCCGAAAAGCGGTCGGAATAATACATGAACGCAGCTCCCAGAAGATGGACTAATTTATGTCTCCATCGTTTCACCTGCAGTTTTTATCATCGGAACCTCGTATCGACTCGCCTCGCCGTGCATCTGCCTCCATCCCCCTTCTCCTCTTATTTATGACGTTCGTACTTTCTCGCGGCGCCCGTAGCCCAACTTTCCGAATTTCGGAACGTCTCGGTGAATGATTTAGCGCTGGATCCGGAGCCAGCCTCCTTGGGGCGGGGGTTTAAGTGATCGAAATTCCGCTCGACTTGGACATCTTTGCGAAGGATTTTGGGATCGCTTCGGGAATACCAACCATCGCGAGATCAGGCAGGGGCCGGAAGTTTTATCTTAGGTTAGTGCTTTGACCCGCAATAAATGTGACCGGATCTGCAAGACGTGCTATATTTTAAGAGAGAGCTTACCAAGAGAGCCGATTTTGGGGGAAATTTCAAAATTGGCGATTTCGAGTTCTCAGCGAAAAACGCTCTCTAGAACCCTTCAAAACAAGTTACGCGCTGCTTTGGTCACATTGTATCACCACGAAGGGTGCTAAATGCTATTTTTCTGAATCTCGGAATTCCTACCCAAAATTCAAACTAAAACTAGACCAAGAGTCGAGATTATTGGTCTTGGAATTTCAAGATGTCACGTGTCTCTCAACTTTTGAGCTATTATACTAATATGGGATGATTTTTTCTTGTGTTTTCAGATGGAAGACGAAGGGAACCACGGGAACGATGACACCCGGTGCTTCGTGCTCTCGACGTTGGCGGCCAAACACCAGCCGCGCGTCAACTGCCTCCTCTGCCACTCGACGATGCTAGTCTTCGACCGATACCCTCTCGTCGACGGCACCTTCTTCCTCAGCCCCAAACAGCACAGCCATTTCTCCATCGAGGTAAGCCACCAAATCCACCCCCTGTAATCTCTAATCCATGGCGGTAAGGGCCGAAAATAACCGGGATTCATCAGAGAATTATAATTTTCAGGGAAAATCAGGAAGAAATCAGGGGATATGATCCAGAAACTGGAAATATCTTCGTATACTGCTTCGAGACCATTTCGTTTTCCAAGTCTGAGGAAATTTCAAGTCGTATTACTGCAATTATTACTGTCCCTTGATGTCATTCGTGTTTGCTGGTCCATTTTTGAAAAATGAGCGTCTCAAGTGGTTCTTCATTGAACAATCAGAACGGGCTGTATCCATAAAGTCGCCGCGTTTTGTCGGCTGCGAGTAATTCAAACTTCGCAGAAACCACGTACATTTCTTGTCATGCCGCTCAGATCGTACAACTTTTTACATATTTCATAGAGAATGTCAAACTTATACACATGTGGCAATAATTAGTGAGTGAGTAAAGTACCGGTGGATTTTCAGGGTTAAGTCTCTGGTTGGGCCTATTTATGTAGTTTTGTTCCAAATTGAGTATAAAGTTGTACAATCTGAGCACCTTTGCTCATACTTCGTATCTGCAAAGAATGGCCCAATTACTGAAGCGAACGCAGTCTTCCGCTAAATGTGTCCTTTTTGCGTTCAGCACTGCATAAAATCCCTCCTCAATTGCCTCGAAAGCTTCTTCGCGGTGCCGCACCTGGTCGGCCCCCACCCTCCAGGTTCAATTTCAGAAAGAACGCACATCGTATGAACATCCGTGAGTACTCATGCGGTTCTTCGGACGAGGAATTCCCGTTCGACTACCCCGCACAAAGAATAATTAGGGAACTCAAGAATGTGCATTTTCAGACGGCTCGAGTGTTCCCGGCGATTCTTAATTGGATCAAATCCGAGATTCCCTCTTTTTCGTTACGGTTATCGTCGTATTGATGGCTTTTCCGGGCGCGTCACGCAAGACTTGCTCCGCGTTTAATTAGTTCAAGTTTGTTTGGGCGCAACCTTTTACCTCGTCCGTGAAAGCTTTCCATTTTTAACCCCCTCCCCCTCTGACTCCACCCCCGCCCATCCAGCCCGAGGACCCTAATGGGATGTCTCCGGTCCCTGAATCTTTGATGCTCCGGAGAGCGCTAGAAGGGAGGGAGACCCTGCAGACCCCGGTGTCTTCTCCGAGGAGCAGGATTTTTAGTGCGTCCCGCCCGTTTTTCTTTCTGGGGTGTTCGCGGCTGTGGTTGAATCAGGGTGGTTTCATTTTCAAAGAAAAGTCTCAACTCAAAAAACTTGTTGTCCCTGAACGTCTGGAACATAGAAGAGCTTCAATAACGGTGAAATAGTGTTCAAAACTGAATCATCTGAATCAACTGATCATCATATGAGGCCGTTAATAGGGCGATGTATCTTTGTTCAAAAACAAATTCAAAACTGAGTGATTGATTCCAATGATAGAAGAGGAATATTTTGGCATAAAATGCATCCAAAATGTGAAACCGAACTGGTATTGGTGAAATTTCAAAACTAATAATATTTTTTTCGCATACCGATGATAAATTGGGTCAATGGACTCGGAGAAACAAGAAAAAACGCCACAGATTCCGCCCAAACTGCATGTTACAGGGTGGTTATATGAAGCTGGGTTTCCCCACTTTCCACCTGCTTTCCTCGCAAAATAGTATGGGCCCAGCACTATTTTACCACCTTGTTAACTCGTAGATTGAGTCGGATAGTAACGACTTTGACCATATTGAGCGTCTTATTCATACCTGCGCACCGCCTCTTTTCGATTAAATCAGTTGCGAAACAAGTTCAAGAAGCGTTTCCAATATCGCATTCTATCAGCCTCAATCTGTTGCCACTCGCAGCTTAATGCAACTTGTTGCACGGGCGATTGTGAAATCGACGCTTAAATTCTACCTTCTCCGTGGAGACGTGAGCCAGAAAAAGCGGCAGGGAAATTATTAGAAGGGAAAGATGGCAGCCCTGACGCAGCGGGTCGTCGGAACAAAAGCCGGAAAGCGGCCCAGCTGCAAAGCCGAGTGTCAAGCACTTTCGGGGGGCGGCGAAAATGAAAAATGGGCGTCGAGGAAAACTTAGGTGAATTGCAGCGGGTTACCTGTTGAGTGCGGGTGCAGCGCTGCCAACCTGGAACAAACCGCAGCGAGCGGTGCACTTTCAGCATATGTTGGTAACAGTGCTCGGCGCAGCTTCTGCAACCCGCCTAGCCCGCACTCGAGGTTTAATGGGGCGGGGGATGCTCCCAGCACACAGCCTGTCTTTGTCACCGGGTAACACGCGATTTAAGCACACTGTTGTCAAATTATGAGACATCTACCAGACGATACATCTTGAACGGATGCGAAAATTGTTTAATAAACGTCACTTACTTCCTCTTTTCACCGCCGGAATCGATGAAAGTGCATCAATGGATTCCCACCAATTTTTAAAACTGCGTCGTTTTCACATTCTAAACTAGATCAACCTCTTTTAAGTAGCAGTACGATGGTTAAGAAACAGCACAGCCTATCTTTAAAAGGACGATTTCACAGGACGGAGAAACAACTTCTACGCGGCAGACGGTGGAGTTGAAATTGTTTCCTGCTGGGTTGCAATTTCATGTGTATTTTCTAATTAAATATGATAAAAAAAAAAAAATTAGAATAAGTAAAACGCGAAGAGCAATGTGCTCTCCTTTACGCGTCAGTTTTTAAAAATCCGCGTCCGAACCACGGATAAGTTGCGTGCATTTCGAAAATCATGGCACGAGTATTAGGAGAGCAGAAGAGAGTGGCAAGTAAACTGGTGGCAGGTGGTAGTTCCTTGGTGGAAGCTGATTGGACCGTCTCGCAGGTCCTCTCGGCCTATAGGCATGAACCAAGTGAATAATTATTTATTTTCTATCTATTATCCATCTATTATCTATCTCTTCTCCAAATATGTATTCGCTTTATCTTCGCTGCTGGAGACGCCAATTGGGAGCCAGATTCATTAATTTTCGCTGGATATAACATCAATTCGGAACCGGATGCTGTTGCGGAGCAGTAGGTCGCGTCGCCATCAGTTATCGATTATCGATTCCAGTCGACATATTAATCCACGAGTGACTCGCATGACTGTCCTAGTTCACCTAGTTGAACGTATTAGGAAAACGGAGGGAAAATTTCTTCAGTGGCGCAGCTTCTCACATTCAATTTTCCTTCACTTAAGAGGGTAGGCAATATGCGCTCTCAAGAGTTAGAATAGTGGTATCAGGATCTGTGGGCTTGTTTAAACGTATTACCAATATGCTTTTTCCCTCCGCGCTACAATAAGTAGCCAGGAGAGAATGCAGAAGTTTTACATGCATTTTGGAATCTTTTTTAGTGTTCCTCAATATCAACTGTGAAACATCACGGCAATCTACTCTACAGAATAATTTCCCTCCTCTCTACGTCATGGCGGTAAAGATGTCCGTAACTGATTTTTTCCTTCCCTTTTTCGGCTCTTTTCTTTTCCTCATTTTTCAAGCACGCTCTCTTCATCCACCTCCCCCCCCTCACTGTTTTTTGCTCTTCCTCTGATTCTTTCCGACTGACTCCCTCACCCTGAAGCACTGCTCGCGAATAATCAGAGCTCAGTACCTTCCCCTTGTCGTTCTAATGAACAGGGATCTTCGCCTCTGGTATTTATTTTTCGTCCGCTTTTCCCTGTCTTATTTGCTCAGTTTTCGCTGCTCTTTTTGTCCGTAACGACACCCTTACGGTGTGATTTTTTTTGTAGGGGGGCCCCGATGAAAATGAGCGAAAAAAATATTGAACAAAGCGCACTTAATGATGAAAGTTTGCAAGATTTCTCGCGGATCTTTCCTTGCCTTGTTAGAGCAGTGCCTAAATTTTCCTTCACGAAGTCAAAAATGTCTCGGAATTGGAAGTACAGGAAATAAATAATCAACTACGAGATTCGGCCAATTGGAGTATCAGCTGTATTCCATTTTCGCTGAAGTAGTTAAAATTAATCGATGATGTTATTTTCAATGTCAGCACTTTATTTTTTCACAAATTTAAGTAAGAATGTGTTTAATTTGAACACTAACGAACCCATTAAACTGCGAAAACCGGTAATCATCTTGAAAAACGGGATAAGTAGCGGAAACTCCCTCGATAGCATAGAGAATTAGAGAATGCGCTCAATTTGCAGTATAAGTAGTTTTTAACATAGAAAATAAGATTTTTCGCCGGAATGATGATTTTGATGATTGCGTCGTAGTTTCTTTCATATCCACATAAAAATTCCAGTTTTTTTTTCTTAAAATAAAATAACGTCGGGAAAAATCAGGAAATTTGGAAAAGAGAACTGTAAGCTTGTTCTCGCGTTTTGCAGACAAGAAGTGTAGCATGCGAGAAAAAGATCCGGAAAGGTTTTCGTGCTCGATGAAATAATCACTAGTGGGCAGGAATGCTGTCCATTTTAAAAGAAGAGGAAGAAGAAGGCGGAAAAAACCACCCGGCACGATTGGCGCCATCCAACAGTGGTCACACGCGCGCGCGGTTTCGCCCGAATTCGGAAGCAAATGGACCCCGTAACGAAAATTCGTCACTCAGATTAATTAATTAAGCAGCGCTGTCAACGATCTCATCGTCTTCTCCACTCTTGCCAAGTCCCAGGTTCTCTTAGCCCCCTTGGGTCAGGAAAACCACGGTTATTCTAGTATTAAGAAAAATAAATGCTCGTTAATTTTTCGGTAATGAAACATTTTTCCTGTTAAAAGCTGGAAAAAAACTAGAATAGAGGAACGGCGTATTTGCCGTGGACGGCAGGTCTGCAGTGGCGCGGCGTGAATAATCGATTATCGATATCTCGCCATTTGAAACTATGGTAAAGAATCGATTATTAAGGTGTTCGCTGCGAACACCCTGATAATCGATCTTTTTTCATAGGTTTAAATGGCATAACAATCGATATATCGCAATTCACGCCACGCCACTGCAGATCTGGCAACAATTATGCTGGATTCCAAGTCTCCGACACGCAAGATTTACTCCGCGAGCACCGAAAAAAATGTCGCAACCCGTGAAAGGGACAAATGTAAGAATCCGTCAGGTCATAAATCAAATGGCGTCCGAAAAATTACCGAGGTGAATGACAGTCCCAGTTTTACACGGTCTCCTCCCGAGCTTACAAGACGTTGATCCCGTGATTTCTTAATTCAATGAGAAACCTGAATCATATTTCCCATCGCCATTCCGACGCGATGAATGGTCCGGAAAATTAAATACCGCGGCTTAATTTTGTAAGCCACTTAGGCTGAAAATGAAATAGTCAAACTTCAGGAATTTAAGGGAGTGATTTCGTAAGGTCTGCGGTTTTCTGTCGGTCACAAGTTTTCAGCTGCCAAGAGAAAATCAAAACAATAAACTGTAAATAAGACGTGTCTCTGTGAATGAGAAAAAAAACCCAAAGCTAAAGTTATAGTGCGTATAAATTCAAGATAAATCAAAATCCGTTCGTAATAGGGGGAGCCAAGTAAAAACACGCACCTCCCGAAATGAAGAAGCACTTCATTTCTTGTACCTAACTTTATTTATGGTACCACCCTTCGCGTGGAAGAAAATTTATCGGAAAACCACAAAAGGGAGTTGGAATAATATGTTTGGGCTATTGAATTCATCGATAAATATGTAACCTCGTGGACATGCGCCCTCTGAAAGGGATCCAGGGGTATTCTGACGTTGTAGCTTACTTGCCTTTCAATGCGTACTTTTCCCGTAAGCACCATTTTGATTTTTTCTCTGTCGCTTCATCCCTTTCCTTCCTTCATCATAAGAGACGATGGATTTCTTCTCAGAGAAATGAATTGGACCAACACACATAAATCCCCATTTTGCCTCCATTCTCTGAGGAACATCCAGCGTACAGCTACTGGCTTGTTGAAGTTTATCTCTGTCTGTGTCCTGATTCATTGATCCTGACGAAGTGTGTTATGTTTTTGTTTCAGACGAAATCAGAAGGAAAGACGCAATACCTGAGCGCGGTGTGCATGGGTTGTCTTCAGGGTTGGACCAAGCTGCGATGTCGGCACTGTTCCGAACCCTGGGACGGCTCCTCTCTCATGATCGGCTCAATGTACTCCTACGATATCTTCGCAGCCATGCCATGCTGTGCTGATCGATTGAAAGTAAGTTGATGCAATTTTTATAAAATTCTTGACTTTCAGAAACTTTGATTTAATTTCACTCGTAGATGGACGATTTGATAAAATGTATATCTTTAAGCCTGGTTCCTGTTCTACGGACGCCACCTGATCCCTCCTTAAGATTTGCACTTTGCGTTACATTTTTAGGAATCTGAAAAAATGATCACTAGTGACGCATGCCCAATTCATAAAAGAGGGTTTAGATTATATCAGCCAAGAACAGAGAAGTTGTCGTAGACAATCTGTTTGACAATGACGTCCAATACGATGCCATTCCATCAATACGGACCCAATTTCTTTTAGCAGTTCCCTACCTCCTCCAGAAATCCACCTCCGTCGCTTTTAGCATATCATGTATCCATTTTTGCTTCAATCGCACCCTTGCACCCTTTCATTGGGCGCCATCTGCACCTTCTCCTAGAGGGAACCCACTCTAGGATCTGCTCCGGCAACCTGTCCCCTCCGAACTTCACATCCCTTCGTTTAACCTCAGCGTCTTTCACCTTCCAGGAGACTTTTCCGCTATCCCCCATTTGTGTAGTTGAAAATGACGTAAGCTCGACGAATATCCCCTAAAAAACGCCCCCGTTTGTTTGTGTTGCAGTGCAACGGATGCCAGAAAGCCCTGCTGCTGCCCCACCAGCGGCTCAACTTCTACAGCGACTACTCGCACAAAGTGGCCTGCCCGCAGTGCGGCGTGCAGGACAACCACTTCGTCAAGCCGCTGGCTTCCTGCTTCACCCGTGGCTGGCCATAACATCAGGCCCCCGCCTCGGACCTGAGTCTGTCGCCTACGTCCGTGTCCTCCGCCTCCGTAGATCTGAGCTTCGCCTCGGCCTCGGCGTCGCCGACCGCCCGGTCCCAACAGTCCGGGTCCCCGGTCACCCCCGAGCCGCGCACCGCAGACATCGCTGACAAGATCATCGAGTCCTTCTGGGAGACCAGGATCCACGATCTCATCACCGCGATGAGCAACTACGGTCTGCTCCAGTGAACGGCCCCGCGGCAGTTGTAGATAGTGTACAGCAAGTGTGCTCTTTAAGTAACGTTGAAAGGAGTCTTCTCATAGCTCAGGCTCGTTTCGTTGAAATGCGCCCACCGAGGATGGATTATTCCAGCTCTCGTGGTATCAGCTCTTCTGAGGAGTTTCTAAGCATCGCGTTCGCCCGAGACCAGTCAGTCTCGGCCCAGGCGACTCAAGACGCGCTAAGCTCTAGCTCAATAAGTTAAGTGTAAAGTTTTCATTCCTGCGTACCTCTTCGCATTGGATGGGTGTGAGAAATGTTTTGGGGCCCTTTGGAAATCCTCTGCGAGTGATTTTTATGTCTTTACCTCAATGATGTAGTGGTTGTGGTTATGTCAAAGTCGATGCTGTCTTTTCTGGCAGCAAGCGATCATTTAATTGGTCGGATGCCGGAATGACGCATAAAAGAACGTTGAAAATATGTGGAACGACCTTGGTGTTCTGCTTTTGATAAGTCGCTTTTTTACATCTATATAGCCTAGACAGAGTTGAAAAATGTATGAATCAAAATCATATAATTAATTTAGGATTGCAGGGAAACTACGTGTCCTTTCACTGGAATCAGGACGTGCGTCCTGATTCCTAGTTTTATCATTTGAAGCTATCTCTCTTTTTGACTGTGAATCCGCTAACTCAGGCAAGTCTCAGTTTCTTTAAAATTAATCGTAATCATGCATATTTAAATGTTTTAATGAAGTTAGTTAGTTTCAACTGAGAAATTTTAGTTCAAAATTAAGAATATATTTTCAAATTTTATCATAGTATATTATAGTAATTATATTAATAGATGAAATCTCAGAAACTATTTATTCAGGGAACTCTCAGGTTTCTTGTTTTCCTTTACTAATTTTAATTCGTAATTAAGAAACAAATCTTATATATAAGTCGCGGCATTAACGGTCCCTCTGCATTTCCTCCTTTTAAAGCTTCTCTTGTGGAATTGTTGCTCATTTTGTTCACGCTTTTGATAAGTTTTAAAGACTCACAAGCTGAAAGAATCATTCCGTACCATTTTACCTCATTCGAACGCATTATGCGAATGGAATCTACCTACCTACGCTTGTCGTGCAGATAGATCTTTTTACTCAAGTACTTCCGTGTAAGATCAAGGTGAAAAGCCGATATTTTACAGCATTTTACGAAAGAAATTGTTACTTTATTTCAGCCAACACTTCAAATTTCATAAATACGTTTAACATCTTAATTGTAAGCTTCATACATGTTTACCCACTGTTCCAAAGCTATCGGCTGCCTGGAGTTATATTTTTATTGGTCATCGTGACGTGGCTAATTAATTGAACCAACAAATCAGGTAACCAACAATTAGTGTTCTTCAAAAGCCTAAAATTTTGGAGTCGCATGCGAACATCCTCCCTCCGCAGTTTGTAACCAAAAGCAATTGCTCAACCACATGCTGTGCGTCCCCTACAACGTATCGCCCAACTCCGGTGTGAAATTTCTTTGTGATTAGTTTAAATACCTTTAAAATCAAGTATTCCAATCATACTCACATACGGGTAACTTAATGATTTTTTTCTCTCGAGTCTATTTCCTTTAGAGTAAGAATGTCTCATAGTTATTGACTTGGATAACGCAATTAACTATTCTTAAATAGTACTTCGATGGTTGAGAATTTCATATGCCGTTACTTTTGATGAAGCCGCACTTGGGAGCTCGCTTTCTCAATGATCTCAAATTGCTTCCCTCAGAACCCATATTGGGTGATTTTCTCCTTTCAGTGTTCGTATTTTCTCCTCCATTGAATCTGTCAAAATGGAGAAGATCAGTGGTTATGTAACGCATTTAATCGCGTAATCGCGATTAAGAAAGCATAACCAGCCAAGATATGATAATTAATTTCGAATACCGAGGAAAATTAAATCCTCCTCCCTTAACATTTTGAATGTTTCGCAAAGTGGATCAGCATGCTACGTATATGCGGCAAGTACCTTAATTTGACACGGGATAAAGATATTCTCAACCCATCGAAGTGCACACCTACCTGCAAATGTTTGTACATCATATAGCTGTTTGACTCTTGTTACAAATTTATGTTGTGTAAATATTCTCCCGACGTTTGTAAATTGACTATTAGTGTTTGAAAAATTCAAGAATAAATTACATGTGTATTAGCTTATACAGCAATAGGTGTCATATCAATTGATTTCATGAACTTATTTATTCATTTTGTAATAAGTCATCGCAAAAAAACTCCTACAAGTAATTTAGTGATATCGATTCCCTTTCTTCTGTGTAAATTATTTTTTGTACAAAGTATTCCAAGAGTAAGTATCGATTTTGTCCTTGTTAATTTTGAGTGAAGATATTGTTGTCTCCGTGAAAGTCGAATTGACTCTAAATTTTGAAGGAATCAATTTTCTGTTTATCTTACCGCAGTCAGAAAAATTTCGCCTCCAAAATTTGTGTTTAAGTTGTTGTTTTCAGTGTTAAATTATTGTATAGTTTTTTTTGTTTTTTATCTCCTTCCCCTACGTTCTACTTAGGACAGAAGCTCTGTTTTTCTTTTCTCCTTTCGTGGGTTTTTTCGTTCTTTCATTTTCCTCTTTCTCTCATTTTATCTTGATGAGGTTAGGTAATAACCACCCGAAACCCCCGTGACTTTTTTTAAACTCAGTCTAATGGATCGAATTCTGAGGTCGTAACTTTCTTACCGTCTTTTAAACCCGTCAGATCTGGTCTAATTACCGATTTCATGAAACACCAATCATAAATACCTTATACGTATCTTGTTCTCGATTTAAAAATGCTATAATTACAATCAACGCGGATTTAATACAACATACCTGCAATAAAGCAGTCCATTTTATTTTACATTCTCATGTAGAGAAATGGTATGTTGGATGTATTACGGTTTGCAATATTTTCTGTTCTGTAGATATTTCAGCGCTCATGCTCATTAACGTTGTGTGTTATTATTTTCTTAAAAGCTAGAAAAAAGGAAGAGAGGAGCCTCTCCGCAAAATTCTGCTCAATCAATGGGTTTGCATAACTTTCTTTGTATAGATTAGATTTAAGACCGCAAAATATAAATACACACCATAACATAAGTCCGACTTTTATCAAACAGGTACTGCATAACTAAAGAGTAAGTTTCTGTGTGGCCTTTGGATTGTTTCTATTTGATCGCACTTTTTTTCCAGCTTTACCTATTCCTACCTACCGGCCCTATCAATTCATCAATCTCACCCTTGTTTGCTCTGAACTGCTGTTCCAGTATCAACCTCTCCCCTTAACATTTTCTTACTTCGGGACATTTTCTATTGATCTTTAAATCTCATTGTAGTTTTAAGGAGCTCAAATTACAAGGGTAGGCAAAGAGTCAAGTCAAGAGTTCAAACTTGCGCTTGTGTGAGGCCTAATGGTCATGATCGTATGCCACTTACGCAACGTTCTTATTTTACAATCAATCGATTTACCGCATGGAAACATTCCAATCGCTACTCTCTTTTTCCACCATCGTTTTTTTATAACTCCCCGACAAAAGCAAAATAATGAAAACAAACTTCCTTTTTTTTCTTTTATTCTTATATTTATACTTTCACTATCACTCAAACATGCACTCTGTTTTATTTCTCCTGGGATTCATTACGAAAGAAGAAACAAGAGATGGCACTGATCATTTTAATAAATTATGACCACAAACTATTCTTAGGAAAGAGCTGCCAATCAATGGCATCAGATCTTTCTCATTACTTACACCTCTCCTTACAGGGCTAAAGCACCGCTCGCTTTTGGTCTTATGTCATTTTTTGGTGCAAAGTATAGGTGAGCGTTGGTGCAAACTAGTTCCAGTTTGTTTGAATGCCTTTGAGAGAGCTGCTTTTCGTTGTGAAAGAGTTCTATCATCAGTGTCGAAAAAAAAAAATAATAAATTCCTTTATTATGACTTTAATTTTTGCAAATTATAGTACAAGCATTGAAAATTCACAATATTACTCCCGGCCCTTATCAATGTTTTATTTTGTTTGTTTGTTTTAAATTTATTACTTACGTACAAAATATAACCTCAATTAAATTAATTTATTATTATTATTGAGTTTTAAAGAGTTTTATTGACATAGTTTATTGAATCTTTTTATTTGTTTGTTTTTTTCCTTTTCATTTTACTTTTTTCTTTTATGTACAAAATTAAAAGAAAAAGAGTTATCGAACACACAGCAATTTGTTAGTAAATTATAGAATAATTTTTTTAAAACTGCGATACCTGGCTCAGGTTACTTTTCTGTATTTATTTGTTCATAACAGTTTTTTCTCATCATTATCGCCCATTTGTATCATGTTTACTTACTCAGTAATATTATTAATTCATTATTTATTTTTTGAATTCATCATGAATCACCAGTTACTGGCGCTTTATTTTTCTTTTTCTGGAAAAGGGGAAAACAATACTAATTCTCTAGATGGTCAAATAGAAAGACGTTGTTTTCAATAACTGCCACAATCAATTTGCCAGCTGACAGTGAATAAACAAGATTTTCCCACCTTTATATCACTCATAAGTTCGGACTTATTTCTAATGTTCCTATCGTGAATGAGTTGGAAGTGATTTCTCCGTGTAAAATCACAATTTTCTTTCATCTGCATTTAAAGTCGAGTTTACAAGTCAACTATTCGGAACCCGAATGTTGAATTTTTCCATAGTTCAATATTACGCTAAGTACGTTGCAATTATTTTTGATTGTAGCCATTACCCTTTTTGGGGCAAGTTTTGTACCAAGAACCCATCTTTATACGTAAAACCAGAGTATAATAGCGTAAAAGCCTCATTTTCATAAATATTTTTCTATTGGAAATTCGACTTAAATAGTGCAGCAGCAATTTGCATTTAAAATAGTCCAATGTAGAGTTTGCGAAATGCGCCTTTCAGATCATCTATCTTTTACAAATTAAGTAGTCAATTTTCACACAACTGTATTTAATATACTACTATTTATTGAACATTTGTATAAAAACATTCTCTGTAAATTTTATTTTATTAATTTATTTATTGCTCTAATTAATTTTTCAATACCAATACTTAAATAACCTTGGGGAAAACAGTACGCCATAATTTTTAGTGATTTTAATGGGACTTGTGAAGTAACGCTCTCTCATGGTAGCATACATACAAGTCTCTGTATTGAATCAACCGTAGTTATTATTCTTGTGTCTTCAGCTTTAAGTAAATCTGCACGATTAATTTTACTCCTTCATTTCATATTAACTTTTTCTCTCGTATTTTCTTTTTCTTCGTTTGCAACTCTAGTTATAAAAATCAAGAAAAATGGCATGAAGAAAAACAGAAAGGGAAACAAAAATGAAAAGTCAATCCTCTCTTTTCTTTATTTCCATTCACCTTCTGTTTTTTTAACGTAGTTAGTGGACTAATTTTTTTTAATATAAACTTTCAATCAATATAGAATGAGGGAAAGCAATTCTGATGCGTTTTCATGGATACTTCACCAGGATCTACTTTATTACTCACATCAAGCTTCATACCGTCTTACAACTGGTGATTTGCGAGCCTTTCAGGGAAAACTCATTTTCAAAAATACGCTCAGAAAGTGGATCTCTTAAATCTTAGAATAATCTCAGGAAACTTACATAGCTGTAAATCAGTAACCGGCGAAGCTGTACCATTTCTGCACATATTCAGTCAACCGAGAATGAGATATATCGTAATCATTCAAGACTCGCCGCGTTGAATAGCATGCACAGCAGTGTGGGGTGTAAATAATTTTTTTTCATCTCACATTCTCGTGCGCCAACTTTTCTACATGGATTTCGGGTCGGAAGTTTTTCCTTTCTTTTGTATTGTTTTCTAGTTATTGGGTGTTAAAGTATTTTTTACATATTTTTCTTCTATCCAGTTACTAATTTATTCTATAGTATAACTATGTATCCAGTCACACATTTCTTCTCCATGAAATTCCCAGTAAGGCTACACACCTTCGCTATGTTTCACGTTCTTTTCTACTTTCTTACTGAATCCAAACGTTTGTCATGTAGAAGTCCCATTGCATGCTTTAAGTAAATGTAAATATTTTATTAGAGCAGACACTTTGCGTTTTTGATTCATCCATTTATTTTTGTAAATATTACCTCGAGCTTGTCACTTATATATGTCTGGTGCTTTATGAGTGTCCCTTGCAAAAGTCATCATCAAAATATTTTTATGAATCATTTATTTTGAATCAAATTTTACACATTTTCTCCCTTTTTTTCGTATTTATTTTTGCACAAGTTTTCAAGTTCGCGTCATATCTCTCATGCCTGCAATGCTTTGCCCAATGCAAGTAGCTTTCAGAACCAGTGACAAATCTTACGAGTTAGCAAAACTGGGTTTCGTCCTTTTTTAATGTTTGTAAAAATCAGTCCTCCTAGAGACAGGCTGT